TTTAAGCGTACAAACTATTAATTTGCTCTGTATTCTTCCGCTTGGTACCAATATTTTCCTGCTTTCGAGTCCGATAATAACTTCATATAAAATGCATGATCTCATTTCATTTGACTCCCTAATTGCATCTAGCTCAACAAATTCTCAGATGTTGAGTAAGTTTTGATTATTGAACATACACTCGATCCGTTCGTTTACCTCAGTGATATATCATTACAGTTAGGAGGAAGGAAATTCCTGTACTAACAATATTAAAACACGCCTGATAAGATACAGCGTCATGTCAAATGACAACCCCAAAAACGGACACAAAAACTTTTTTAAAAAAATAGAAAATGTTTTCTTAACCATTGTGTTCAAGCAGTTCTCTTTATATGGTGCATTAATCTATCAATGAAAGTTTCAATTTCAAGTCATTCTTTATAAGCTTTTGGGCTTAAAATTTTCCAGTCAAACCTAAATCATATAAAGGTTAGAAATATCTCTTCAATAGGTATTTCATGTATGCCTTCCATTATTTGTTTTTCACATTTTGTTTCCTTTGCTAGACATTTCAATAAATGTCATCAATAAATTGGTTTCATCCACAAAGTTAAACAATCTAACGCCAGATGACACAAATTAGAGAATTCCAAGACAATAATTGACACCATTTACGTCATGGTATGGAGTCGAAGCAGCCTTAATAAAACACATGACAAGAAAATGGGTATAAGTGTTGTTCTGGCGATTGTTGTATCTACTGTATATTAATAATTTTTCTGGTCAGAATTAAATTAAAATATTGTTATCTTGTTTTTTTTCATTTACCACATAAGCTTTAGTTATATAATATGTGAGCATATAATATCACATCCTACATTTTAAAGATGCAGATCTCTGACTTCCATTTAAACATTACCTTCGAAATCATTTATATAAATGACAATCACTTGATTCAATCAGCCGAACTCACACTTTTGATGACGTAATCCTTTTGCCCTATTAGAAAGTCGAGTAGTCATTTAATATGTTACGTTCTGCTCTCATTTCTGTTACACATCAAACTGTGCAAATCATTACTAACAACATCTTTTTTCCTGATAGAAAATTCACTACCATGCTATTGGTCTTCAAGATCAGAATTCAGGACATCACCGATTCTTATTTAAGATAGGATAATTTATTAATAAAACGCGTATGTAATCCCATTTAGAAATATTCTTGCCGATTTAGTTTACGTTACCAGTTATATAAAATGTTTTAAATAATTATCAATTTATTTAAAAAATGATTCATACTCTATGTGTGTGTGTGTGAGTATGAAAGAGATAGAGAAAGTGCGTGTGTGTGTGTGTGTGTGTGTGTGTGTGTGTGTGTGTGTGTGTGTGTGTGTGTTAAATCTTAAAATTTTAGGACATCTCGAGCTTTTGGTTAACTGTCTCGCCAGACCTTTTTAATACAGCAAAAATTCATCCATTGTTAATCTCCTAAATATATTTACTTTGATTTTGTTGGTCTGGTTGAGCATTCTTCGAGTATGTTAGGTGTAGCACAACCGCCAAGTCAATGTTGTAGAAGGTTTGATATATAACAATATGATTAAAAGCAAAGATTACATTTTGTACCCTTAACAACACAGTTACTAACTAATTAATTAATTATGCCACTAATGAACGAATTAGATAAGAAAAATGTTTTTCATTTTTTATTTTTTTTATTTTTGTATATTAGCACATTCTTATTATTGCCCATTGAATGTAATGTAAATGTAATTAAATGTTATATATATATATATATATATATATATATATATATATATATATATATATATATATATATATATATATATATATATATATATATATATATATATGATGCTAAATCAATGAAACTCAATGTATAAACCTCTCTTTAATCTTGTGTAAAATAAGGTTCTATCATCGTGTATAACTTTTCTATAAACTTTACAACATATTTACATAATAATCTCATGAACGTCAACGGCTGTTTATACAGGCAGATCTTTTAAATAAGTTCAAGTTATTTTAGTTCATTTTGAATCTACAGTTGGTAACGTAAGTAGTAAACTTAGTAACGTAGTTGCTTTCTATAACAAAAAAAAAAACAAGGATTGTACCATAATGACTCATATCATACCAACTACAACGGCATACACTGCAGCCCTGCCAGCAAACTAAAAAAAATTCTTTTCTATAAATGTTGTAAGAGTACACAACTTAGTGGTTGAAAGCTTATGTTGAAGTGGTTACTTCTAAATCTGACATTTTTCGGTTCCTCCCGACATATAGGGTAATTTTGATTATCATAATTTTTTTAAAAAAAACTTACTTTCAAGACCAGCAATAAAAAGAAAATCCTTATGTTCTCACTGAGCTGCGTTATTGGAAGCAAATTATTTTATGAACAATATATGTGATAGACTCTATAGACAATACAAACTCGAAAACAGTATTTGGACGTAACTGTTATATGTTCATGTTCCTATACGCTGTATGGCAATTGCTTTATATTTGCTTAGATATTAGTGTATTTAATTCTTTGAAACCTTATATGATAACCAACACTCAGGCAGTATTTCTCAACGTGATCGTTGAAGGACACTTTTACTTTCTGGCAATGGCTTTCTGATACAACACGAAACTTGTCAAAGTGTAGAGAACAGACCCATTTCTCTCGTTAATCAGGAATCGGAGGTTATAAAGAAATATTATTGAATTTACAAGCACGCATACCTTGCTTTGTTCATACATTGTCATTTCCACGATTTTTACGTTAGAACATAATTCAGTTGGATAATGTCTACAAATTCAAATAGATAACTTCATTAACAATTCTCCCTCTAGTCGATCAACACAAATCACCAATGACCCCAAGTCTCTACATCATCTCACCTCAACACAAACCTCCAGCCGACTCATCAACCAAACCCTGAGATGAAAGTACAGCAGTAAGGCAGTAACATCCCTATTTCAATTAAGTTCGTGTATGTTGCGGTGCTATTCAGATCATTTACTAATAACGAACACGTAAACAAAAATGATATATTGAACTACTTTAAAGTCACCATCATTACCAATGACATCTGTCAAAGTCTCGCTGGATTTATCTGGATCAATACAGATTTCTACATGACAGGATATCGATATTTATCCCGAAATGTAAAGCAATTACAACTACAAAATTGGAGGCGATAACTGCTAGTAACACGTCGTAAATATATGTCATGGTGTATGCACGGATATAATTATATATATAAGCACCAAATAAATCAACTCAAGCAATCTCTTTCTTTATCACAATATAAAGCACGATTTACACTATGGCACATAGTTGCGATCTGTTACCTGTAGTTATCGCCTCTCCTATTGTAATGGCTTTACATTCCGGGCTAAATATCGATATCCAGTCTTGTGATGAACTTTGAAGACAGAATGGAAGAGAGGAACAGTAACTTTGTCGGAGTCAGAACCACCTTGGGACATCTCTGTGCCGAACGTGATACGACTAGATCAGGAAAAAGATGCTCTTCTCTGAGAATAGTGTGCATTGCTATTATTCCTTGCCTGGTCCTCATAGTCCAGAGCGGCATAAAGCTACACACAGATGTGCAAAGTCTTTACGATAGCCAAACCATGAAAGATACTATCCAGCTCAGTCTAGAAATCACCAATCTGGTGCATCGAATTCAGACTGAACGGGGTACAACCGTACTCTATATAGGAAGTAAAGGAGACCCGGAAATTTTTACCAGACTCACTCTATCCTACAAAAGCACGGATGAGGCGATCTTGTCAATTACCATATGGAACTCAATGGACACTCCTGACTATTTTATGTCCAAAACGTCATTCCACGATCATATTAAAAACTTTAGGCATTTACTGGATCATTCGAACCTTACAGTTTTTGACGCGGTTGAATTTTACAGCAAAGATAACGAGATATTTATTTACTGGATCGGAAATGCTGTGAGGCACGTGCAAAAGGTTGCTTTTTGGACACACCTGGTGACCTACCATATGTTAATAGTCAGCAAAGAGCAGACCGGAATAGAAAGAGCTCTGGGAAGTGCCTTTCATGTTCAAGGTAAGAAAATGAGAAAAAGGGGCATAAGATGATGGTCTCAACCCCAGGAAACATGCGCGCTGTTGTAGATAAAATATATTGACGCTACTTGCAAAGATGCTGGCTGTGAACATTACGTTTTGAACAACATTCTACAAATTTTGTAAATAGAGACGTAAGAAATAAATAGTGGATTGGTGGGTTTTATTGAATTTAAATTGATTCTTTTTCATTTGTTTTTGCATTATAAAAAGTTGACTTTTTAATTTGTTTCCTTTGGAAACGATTAAGGGCCATTTGTTCTTGGCACAGAAATGCTTTACATTAAAACTTTATATATTGTTGGTTCATGCAGAATAGTAATTTTTGGCGGCATCGAGTTTCATTTTAATTTTCAATACAATGTTTCATGCTGTACTATTTCACGTTCATAGAGTTGTTGGTAATTGCTGTCTTGCGACCTGTTACTGTTCACTCGTCATTCCTGTACTATGTTAAGACGGTAGATCAAGAAAAGAAGCGTATCTGCTCTCTATATAAAAGACATCACAGTAGTTCGGAATAAAGGAAATGAAATGAAAGCTAATTGTATTAGAAATTGACGATATCGAATAATGGGATTTAAACCATCTGGTCATGAATGAAAGGCAAATGAAAATGGGTATTTGTGAAACTATAAACTGTATTTGCTCTTTTATGAACTTGAGTAGGTGGTTTAGATTTTCTCGTAGCTTTAAGACTTTTTCAGTTATACTGATACAATGTCTGCAATGTGATAGTTCATAGTGATGTCTAGCACTGGAGCATCATTCCGCAGATATGTGGCATGATGTCCCACCCGCTCACATTATTTGACCAGTCCTAACACTAACCTCTTAATGCTGTGATCCAATAGAGGGGCAGCTGTTAGCTGCCTTTTTATGTCTTTGGTATGACTCGTCCGGGGTTCGAACCCGCGACCTCTAGCATTCAAGGCGGACGTTCTAACCACTAGGCCACCGGAGAGGTCATGATTTTGAAGGCCATTTAGTCTTTAGTGAACGCTCGAAAGGAGAAAAGTGATACAAACAAATAGCAATGTAAGTAGGTCAAAACTGTTGAAAAAGTACCATCCGTAAGTTTTGAGAACAATGACAAATTATTGTTTCCTCCAGATATATTGTATTGTTCAATTGATGATTACATATTACAAGTATTAATCTAAAGTAGTATTTCAAAACTGCGTTAAGGGCAAAGTTAAGGCAACTCTCAAAAGAAACACTTTGAGAAGAGAAGGCTTTGTGGATACAAATAATGACAGACGTGCCAGAAGCACGGTCATTGGTGACAACTTAATCATTCAAAGTTATGTTATAATAAGCGGCACTTGCTTTGGTAGTACATACACGAGATGTGAATCGAAAGGATGGTCAGATATCAACAAGTGTGGTCTGTCGTGATTTTAACAAGAACGTGGATGTGCTTTTAATTTTCAGATTTGTTGATGGATTATCAATCTGAAAACAGTGCAAGTTACATTTTTTGAACACTTTTGAAGTTTGGCTCCGTATTCACAGTTTGGTTTATTGTTACTTAGAAGCAGAATGAATGAAATTTGTATGGATGAACGATATTCGCCGGGAGTACGCAAATACTAAAGGTGCGCGATTGTGTGAATGTAACCTTCCTTTAACGTACCCTATATAACACTCATGGTATTGTTTATAACTCTGTTCAAAGATAAATTAAAATGATTTTACCACCATGCACTACATATTATGCAAGTGTATTTTCATAGAATATAAATAATATTGATTTGTTTAACGTTTGCGTATGTGTGCATAAGAATAAAATTCCATATATTATGCCTTTAGAACAGATACAATCAGTCAAAATACGATGAAGATGTGAGATACAATTAGATAAGAAGGATTCAGAGGTTTCGGATGGTGACGTTTATGGCGATGAATCTGAAATTGCTGCTGAAAAAAAGAGAAGGTAAGACGCCATGGCTACGATTACAGAAGTAATTCCGCAAAATGTTTTCTCGAGAAAAGAATGCAACCATACATTGAGAGTGTCAAACTCAGGTCATAAAGAAATTAGAACGTATCATTTTGGAAAAAGAGAATTTAAAGGAAATACATTATATTTGTATTAAAGAAAGCAAGTTGACGACATTCAAATGAAAAAAAAGAATAAACAACTAAGCACCAAATAGAGTACACAATAAAGTTGAGTGTATTTCACCAAAAACGATAAAAGCATCATCAGCATGTATGGATATGAGACAAAACAACAAGGTAAATTTGCATATTGGAATTTGGACTCAGAAACACTAAAATTATCTGACATGTCATCAACCTCAAGAGTTATATATATATATATATATATATATATATATATATATATATATATATATATATATATATATATATATATATATATATATATATATATACATATATATATATATATATATATATATATATGTGTGTGTGTGTGTGTGTGTGTGTGTGTGTGTAATTTATGTCAGAGTTGCCACTATATTTGACCGATAGTGCTAATTTCAAAAGCAAACAATTTGGTTTTGGTTTACTGTTGTGATGAGTACGTCCATGGGTTAAATTTAAAAACTACAAAAGTCTGTAACTGTTTGGGTTAAAATTAGCTTATGTTTACGTTTCTCTAACTTCCTGTAAAGTGATTTAAAAACACGAAGCTCTTATTTTGCTATGTGGGGTTAAAACCTTCTTCATCTTAAAAGCATGTCTTAGATAATGTCAATCAAATGATATATAAAAGTAAGAATAGTAGATATTGTGGTTGGATCTCGTGGATTAATAATCTGGCTTTTTGGTACTAATAGTGGTGAGTCGGAATTGTTGATTCTCTGCTAATATTGGTTATAAGATCATTTGTAAGAAAACATAGTGTTATACGATAATAGCTAACATTGAAGTGCCCTAAGTCAAAATGCTGATCTTGTTTCTTGTGTTGGAATCTCATTTCCAGAAGAAATAAAAATGGCTATCGGGGTGGGTGAGATGTAAAGTTATAACCACCATATGTCTGCAAATCACGTAATCTTATTTGAAGTCATCTTGATTGAGGATAAAAATACGTAAGGCATATTAACACATGTAGAACTTGTATGATATACAACAACTTTGTCAAAACTATGTAAAACTCTCGTCTATTTACATGAACTTTTTATTTATACAAATATTGTCCCGTTTATATTTTATACATATTTACGTTCAACCTGTCAAATTTTAAAGTCTTTATCAGTAATACTAGTTGAAAGCAATCGAAATGTAATCATCAACTCCTTAGTCTGGCTCTTTGAATTATGTGGTAATTATTTGGGACTGGGTCTAAGTTTTGAAATTTCCATTAGATAACAGTTTTCTTCATATAATGCTAATTGTAACCTGAGATCAAATGGAGAACTTTATAATCCTAAGATTTAGAACTTTGAGATCTAGAACTTCAATTTGCATTATATACTGTATTCAGTACTTTATTTTTGGGATGGATATTTTATTTCTTCAAATTGTTGAATTTAAATTATTATTTTCTCTGGAAATAGAAAAGTAAAATTACAAAATTCATAGACTGAGACATACACTGGAATTTATAACGAATTCAAACCTGGAATTGTATTGCTATGATTCGACAAAATACTGTCGACACATCAACACTCTATAAACTACCATAGACTCGTCATCGCATTCGCTTTTTTTATAAACTTTATTCTAGATTTCTGCTGAATTTTAATCAGGATTTTAAATTACTAGGAAATATAAATTCTTTTTTGAATTTTACGAAAAGCTTTTTACTTTTTACTCTTTTTAGTTACATATTTAAGAGCACAGATTTGTAACAGTCGTATAATTGGGTATTCGCGCGTTAACAAGACGCACGGGTTGCACATGTCCAAATACGACTGTCTTTAGAGTATATTAGGTCGATGTTTAATGTGTATTTACATCGTACTTGTTTCACCTAGAAGATCTACAACGTGGCCTTACTTAATCCACGAGGCTAAAATTAACAAGTGTTAACTGATTATTACGACATGCAATTTAAACTGTTGCTTTGGCAGTAATCTAATCAAATATTCTGGCTGCACCGGTGGTAAAAGAAAAACATTATATAACCATGAACGTGATTGTCAAGGTTGATTGCACACATAGTAGTTTGCGGCAATCCTTATCGATGTTACTAGCACATAGAAATAAGCCGAGCCGTTACGTCAAAACAGTCTGTAATTATCACAGATGCAATTGAGCGAATGTATGCGCATTCATCACTAACATGGCCATGATTATTATGGGATATATTGGTAAAAATTGTATGGGATATATTGGTACGCTGTTGTCAAAGCATAGAGTAAGAGTTGGTGCTGTACATGTTAATATACACCTTGACCAAGCTATTGTGGAACGATTTCACGGAAAACACTTGCAGAATTGTTAGTCGTAAATTACTATGCGCGTGAATTCACAATGATGTCTCGGAGTGCAGAGCGTACAAACGAATGATCACACGTCTTCCATTAGTCATAGCAACTTTGATAGATGAAATTACACGCACATTTGGATAAAATCCAGCTAATACGATTCGACAAAAGACTGGCATTTATTCGAAAAAGATTTCACAGCCGACACAGTTGCAACCACTAGGAAACAAATTTGTTTGGTAACTGTATGCACATGTAAAGTTAGAAGTTGGACAATGACGTGCTACTGACTAGGAATGGTCCGACGTAGTGTTTATTAGTTAATAAAAGATTGGTACTACAAGACAACCGACACGTTACGGTTCGGAGTCTGTAAACTGCTCAGCAGTTCAACCATGGGAACAAAGCCACCAATACAAGCAGTTGTGAGAGAAAAAGTGCAATTTGTTCCCGCTAACTGCCACCAAGATTTGTTTCAACCTGTTGACGTGTCCCCCGTAAGATGATTCTCAAAACTATGATATGCTATAACTTTGCACAAGTGGTTATTCCGCTAATGAATATAAATCGCTTGATATTAAGCGAAGACAAACTTACTCGAGCGAATCGATAGACCGATTCGATATTTCTGACAAGTATGAAGTTATCTGTGTGCGAGAATTCACGTAGGTCTCAAAGACATAAAATATACATATTGTGTTTGATATCTTTCTACAAAAAACACTGAAACTTTGCAAAGGGGATTTAAAACATTAAAACCTCCTTAATTGATTTGGCGTTCGCTAACTAGGGAATGATCTCCCAGAGTGTCATCGCCCAGTGTGAACGGATAGGTGGAACCTTAACAGATAGATGAGCAAGCGATTGAAACAAATAAACAACTACGATCCCCCTTTTCCAATAAATAAATATAAATTTAATCAATTAGTACATAACAAAAATTTCACTTTCAACTAATACAACAGATTTACTAAAATCAATGTAAAGAATTAATATATAACCAAAATCTCACTTTTAATTAATTCGTAGCCAAAATTTCACGTTCAATCCTACTGATTCACATTATTAGAATTTAGTCGCAGTGTTCAATTTACACCATTTACGGGTAGTGAATTTTGAGTTAACTTCTACGCTCAAAAGTATCATATGACGTCTGTCTCCTCGTTTCGTTTCCACGTCTAATGCGTGTGCTTTGTTCATCTTCCGACCCCTGTTTAGTCAGACCTCTCTTAGATGCGGATTTTTCTTTGATTCATCGGGTTTCCTCTTCTTCTTCTTCTTCTTCTCTCTCTCTCTCTCTCTCTCTCTCTCTCTCTCTCTCTCTCTCTCTCTCTCTCTCTCTCTCTCTCTCTCTCTCTCTCTCTCTCTCTCTCTCTCTCTCTCTCTCTGTATGAAGTTGTTTCCGTGAATATGAGAGCATTAAGAGAACTCATTATGGTTCTACAATTATTTACGTACATATATATAACTTTGCTCATATTCAGATTAGGTGATTTGCACTGCACAAATTCTGGCATAATGTGATCTTACAAATAACTGTCTTTAAAGTTTATGTG